GCATTCTAGCAGTCCATATTTGCTCATTATTTCCTTACATAATTGGTGAACAGTCCATGCTTGAGTTAGTTGAAGTAAAACTAGGTGGTAAATATTAGTAAATTGAAGTGAAAAACTAGGGCCTATTATATCTGAATATTTTCTTTAGAATTTGTCACACTTTTGTAATAAAGTTGCTTCATCAACATGTAATAAAAATGTTGGTGTTAGAAAATCGGATATATGACAGACTACACTCATATTCTCATACCAATAAAACGTGTATCTAATTGAGATATTACTGTGTCTACTACATTATTGGAAACCTCAATTTTAAATATTTTTTCTCGGTTTCGAAATCGGTAATCAGCAGCTAATTCATCAAAATGTTTTTTAACTTTTCTTTTCCTTTTTTCTTGAAAATGGGTATCAATAGCATATTTTCTTACCGTCACTGGCTTTGCAACCTGTCATATTTATTTTGAAAATGGGAGAAATTTCCAAAAGTTTAGTTCGATCGACAGTTCTGGTAAGGATTCGAGGGCCCCCTGAGCTTGAGGGCCCCGGGGCACTGCCCCGCCTAGCCCCTAGGTAGCTACGCCACTGGAAATGAATAAAGTTACTGAATATTTTAAATTTGCAGGACATTTTACCCAATGTTTAGAGAATGGACCATCTTTACTTCGAAAATTTAAAATAAAAACTACACTTTGTATAGTAATAATAATCTAGTGACCATGACTCTCTAGTAGTTTCCGAGATACCCCTAAAGACCATGGTAGAAAACTCACCCTGTATACACAATAATGTATTGAATGGCAAACCAAAGAACCATAACATTTTCACTCTTCAGTTCACTGTTATCCGGGTGACTAGTAAATTAATATAGAGTTTAACATGATTTATCTTTGACACTAATTTTATATCGTAATTTGCTAGACTGTTAGACTTTTTTGGAGATATACTATATTAATAATATAACATATACCTAATTTAGACTTTTTTTAATGTTTTGGATATTATATTGAAACCTTTATGCAAAGTTCAATCAACTTAAATATATAATTTTTTAATGCATTAAAAGGAACTTTAGAATAAGAGGTTATATTATTATAATTTGCATAAAATGTTAACTATTAAACTATAATTTGCATGATGGAAAACTTTGACTAAACGAAATTACTCCCTAAGAATATATAACAGAAATTTCCCGTTAAAATGCAAAATACTTTATCGTAAAACTAAAACTGTCTTAATTAGAACAAAGAGAAATTATAAAATTTAGGAGACTTTTATAAAAGAATGAGCCATTTAAAAGAAACGTGAGCAATTTAATGTAAGCCATTAGTAAATCATTTGGAATTCTGGGCATTTCCCTCTTAATCACGGTTATTTAAAATAAAAGTGAAATTCGTGAAAAATGTAAATTAAATTGAAGTATTCGAGCACAAGTTAATAATTAATCCAGCTTTTGTTGACAACTTCGACTGTGCATTTTTTTAAACCTCGAATCTCTTATGCATTTCCATTATGGTTAGAATTTAAAAAACCCTATACTTACATACACTCTATAATAAAAACAGAGGCATTATCAATTGCCGGTTACCGCGATTTGAACGTGGATATAACATGCGGAAAGAATTTATATTAAGCTGAAAATTCATAATCTAATCAAGCATCTGCACTCATGTATCTGCTCCGCAGTGTTTGGACAGGTCGCTTATTCAATCATGTAACATATTTTTTTACTCAATTTTTAACTGCCGTCCCTGTAATGAATGATGAGCAAAACTGGCCTCGGTCCTGATCATGTACAATGTACATTGTACATATAAAAAGCAAAAACCAAGACTTCCGTTTTATTTGGAAAAGCAAGATCAGTATAAGACTTTTGCAGTCTTGTATTTTTTATTTAAATTTAACTTTTCATAGATAATAATTATTCGAAAAAATAACGAAATAACAAAATTTTTATTCACATACACTTCTATACTATTTTAAAGTGAGAATATTAATTAGAATTATTAAAAAGGTTTCTCCGAAATTATTGCCAGGGAATATGTAATTTATGGTAGTCGCCAACAACATTAAATTAATTAATTATAACAAAACAAGTACAAAACCTTCTTTGTCGAAACATATCGAATAATACCGTTTTTGTTAAGTCACTCATGCTTTAATGAACCATTCGTATACAGGGTGATTCACGGTAATGGCACATTAGACGTTTATGGAGAACCGGTAATGGATTTTTTTTGAATTTGGATTTTTGCATAAAGGAGCTTGCTCCGTTGGTCTGAATTATTTTCTGCATTACAGTGTTCCCGCTTCGTATTAAAAGTGGTAGCGTCTTTGTTATTTTAAATGGAACACCTGGTTTGTTATTTTTTGAAACTACTTTCATATCTGATAATTTTTCAATTATACTAATCTATAACAATCTCTAATAGATTTCCAAATAAAAAATAAAACATGTGTACAAAGACAAAAACATGATCTTGAATAAACATCGATTAAATCATAAATTCGGCATATCCAAAGCTGGAATTTAGTTGAGAGGTCGACATAATCCATCTGTCTAAATCAACCGATTGGATATCAAACAGGGAGATCAAAAAAAATATTTCTGTTTGTTATAAAATCGCTCAAATCATTGTTATTATAAATTCAAGCCCATGTATTTATTATAAAATTAGAAACACAAATAATTTTTTTTTCAACGAGATATCATGTTCCTATACCTAAAACATCTGGTTTCTTCAGTATAGCTATTTAAAAGATAATAACTATATTATAGTTGTTTCGTGTAAAGAAAATCTTTACAATGACGAATATTCAAGCTTTATAAGTATAAGTTAGAGTTTACTTGCTTATTTCTATAATTGTCATGGAAACGAAATTTTTGAAACGAGATTATAATAATAAAATCATTAATTTTTAAATAGCTTTACTTAAGAAACCGGAAGGTTTAGGTATAGAATGTAGAATGAGTGAGAAGGGGGTTAATCACCGCGACCTTACAGATCTGTTATGTCCCCCTTTCTTGAGTTATAACTTATCATACAGTCTATAACTCATCATATATGGTGATTTTCCTGTTGTTGGGGGAACAGAGTATTTCCCATCCCCCTCTGGGGGGGACAACAGATTTTCTTCTTCCGAGGAGTAGACATCTACCTTCTACGAAGAATCTACCTGGCTTTTACACCCTTGTACGGTTGGAGTTTGGCCCTCCGTGCCCTTCAAGCTGTCAAGCAACTGTGCAAACCTATAGGAAACTTTCCTTTCACGTCAAACGAACCGATCAAATCAATAATTAGTTTTCCAACACTTTTTTTCCAAGTGATCCCTCTAATAATATACATTATTATTGTTTTAGTAACATTAAATTATTAACGCTACCAAACATAAAACTACCTTGTCTCCCCTATTATCCTCATTTTCGTACACCGTATTTTGCACAACATAAGACTAAAAAGTCAATAAAGGAATTGTTTTCGAGTCTCTCAGTTCCTCTTCTACATGTAAAGTGGTTAGAGGTGAAAAGTTCGTAAGTAAGTTAAAGCCGGGCGGCCTGTAAAAAACGTAAAACTTTCAAATTATATTTTTGCTGACTCGAAGTTTCGGAGCTTTTAATATTACGGACACGTTATCATTCTTCGCTTGTGAAGACAGAATTTAGAAAAGCTTCTTTCCTTTACTGAGCGAGGAATACAGATACATTATTTTGTATGGATGTCAATATAGTGTATTATTATTTTTAAAATAAGTAAGGTTTGTCTCCAATTTTTTAGAATTTTCAGGTATTTTTCTGTATTTTTTTTGTGGATTTATCGGAATAGTATTGAGATAGCTATTGGGATAAAGTCCCAATACTATTCTATACACTTCAAACAAAAGTGTGGCAAATATAAAAAAAATGTGGGGTTAGTTTGAGGTTTATATCTAGAAATGGTAGTATAAAGGGTAGAGAGAAAGAAAAAGGTGCTTAAAATTAACTTTAAGGTTCTAACCCCCTTCAATAAAAGAAAACTTTAATTACGTCGATATAGAAATATTGTTTTCAAAATATTTATACTTCATTCGTATAAGAACAATTAGAATAAAAAAATACAACACTAAATCACTAAATCACCACAATACACCAAAACACTTTTACTTTTACACTGGACGCGCGATTCGCTAACCATATTTGCATCATCAACAGATGATGCAAACGCGCGTCCAATGAAAAAGTAAAAGTGTTTTGGTGTATTGTGGTGATTTAGTGTTGTATTTTGCTGTGTAACGCCAAAGGTTCCAAACCCCAACTGTAATAATTAGAATGCTAAATGCTATCAACCAAAATACAGATATTTTTCAGTCGGTCTTATCGACAGATTATACTCTGTTTCGAAATGACTGAGTAACCCTAGCACTTTTCGCTGTGCTAATTTATTCATAATACAGTATTGTTTTTACAAGAGGAAACACTTTTTTATTATTGGCAATTTGAGAACCACTGGATTTTTTCTGGATTTTCTTTCTTGTAAATTTAATCTACTACCTATGTTGTCATATTACTAACAAAATTTTTGTTTCGATTCTTTAAATAATGTACATAAGCTTGAATTTAAAGTAACAATGATTTGAACAATTTCATATAATCGGAAATATCTATTTTGTCTGATCTCCCTGTACGATATCCTATTGGTTGATTTAGACAGATCGGATTTGTCAACTTTCCTTTACCTTTTCCCTATACCGGATGTAAAAATAACTACAATAACAAAGTTACTATCACTTTTAGTATGAAGCGGCAACACTGTAGTACTGAAAATAATTTGGCGAGACGGAACAGGTGTATAATACAAAAATTCAAATTTAAAAAAAAATAATCTGTTCTCTATAAACGTGTAACGTACCATATGGCCGTGAATTATCCTGTATATAATTTTCAAAAGAAAATTAAGTAGGCCTCCTACGTTATGCTATGAAAATTTTATTTTAATCTGTATTATGAATTAAAACTGATATTTTATCTTAAAAAATCATTTATTAAAAAAATAACAACATAAAAAACCTTAAAAATAAAGCTCGGTTGGATCAGTGTGTGCGTGTCTGGGATAATCAGCTCCTTAAGAATTTAATATCTTTATGCCGTTAGTTTCTTCAAATTTCATATCCGGATCACCCCATCCCCATGAGTGATTGTAGTTTATTTTTAAATTTTTGTTGGCTATTACGTTATTATTGTTGTCTTTAATTAAGCCATGCCAGGTACCATCTCCATTTTTAAGAATTGTTTTTAAAATTAGATCATCACTTGCAATTTTTAGTTCTGTGGCCCAGCCAATTTTAGCCATTAAATCCAAAAATCCAGCACTAAGGTTAGATCCGTAGCTTCCCAGTTCACCAGCCCTATAATCCCACGGGAATGAGTGGTGAAAATTATGCCATCCTTCGCCTAGACCAATTATGCCCAGTGTTAAATTTTCTACTGCTTTAATATGCCTATAAAAATTTTTCTATTAATTTTCAGTTATATCAATATTGAGGTTACACCTACATAAACAGAAATATATTTGGTAGTTTCGGAGACTGCTAATGCAGTTTTTTATTAATGCATTTACGTACTTCTGGTTATATTGCTTTTCGATGGTCTAGTTCAGAAATGCTGAAAGTGCAAAATTGTATGTTTTGAGTTTTATGAAATTTAAAGTTTATAAGTTCACCAAAATCCAAGTGGTACTTTACACAAATGGAAGATGGCTGTGACACCAAAAGATTTGTATACTTTAGTGTATACTGGTGTGCGTAAGAAAATTTATACCGAAAATATTCGTTATGAGTTTAACTCAGTTTTGCAGGAAAATGCACTCACAACATTTCCGTTTTAGACCATCGTTATAGTTCGGTTGAGCTACCAAAATCCGTGTGTTTTTAGAAGGGGACCTTTTATTATGATTCTAAATAACTTTTAAGGTGGTAACGTTGAAATTAAGCGTGAAAGTCATACTGAAAATTTTGACATTATGGTCGCTACATTAAAATTCTACCAGCAGAAAAAAATAATACAGATAAGATGATAAGATGTTTCCTCTCGGACACGGCAATAAGCTAAACGATCAGTGAGACCTCTACGGATAGAGCTAGTAGAGCTTTACATTCGTCCCATTTAAATTGTGTTTCAAAAATGCATAGTTTCCCAGATATTTAATTTGAAAAATTTCGATTGTCGATCTTCTGGATATACCACTTTGAATAAAATCCAAAATTTTTATTTATTAACTTTGTCCACTTTTCTCACCTGATACGGTTAGAAGACGTTATGTAAGAATTCTAAATGCAATTTGACTCCATACACTTGACCTTTTTATGTTGTATTTAAAAGAAAATAAAAAAAATTGCCGAAAATGAAGAAATCGATTTTTATTTTTTTCACACCCTGTTACACTTTTTAACAAACTGCCACGCCCAAAAATCTTTCAAATCGGAATAAGTGAAAAAAGCTCGATTTTGGCCGGGAAATTTTAGGAAATTTTTGAAACATAATTTAAATGGGGCGGTTATAGAGGACCACTAGCTCTATCCGTAGAGGTTTCATTTGGGTTTTTTGATTTTGGTAAAATTTCAACTTTGAATCGTTGTCTATGACTCCTTATGAAAATCTAAGAAACGAAACATACGCCATGGGAGGACGCCATCAGTCGTTTATTCGACGTTGCATAATTGGTTTCTTAGAAATAAAGGGTTCGGTAGATACTAGATAGATAGATACCCTAAAAAAAGTTGAAAAAGCAAAATTTCCAAAAAAAATTCCGGCCAAATTCGAGCTTTTTTCACTTATTGGTGGATGATTGGATCGATGCATATTGATTATATATGTCAATATCTATTGACAGATAATGGAGAGTAGTTTTTCACAGTATTTAATAGCTTATAGAAGATATGTAGATGATGTTTGCATCATGTGGGGTGGCAGTGAACGGCAGCTGGTGGATTTCCTTTCTTATGTCAATACCTTACATAATAGAATTTCTTTCAGTTTGGAAAAAGAAAATGAAGGCAAATTACCGTTCTTGGATTTATTACTTATGAGAAATAATAATAAAATAGAGTTTGAAATTTTTAGAAAACCCTCCTCCACAGATAACGTTATTCAGCATATTTCTAACTCCCCATATTCCCATCGATTCGCAGCGTTTAATTCTTTGTTCTATAGATTATGTAACTTGCCACTATCCAGAGAAGCGTTTAATAAAGAGCTCAACATTATAAGACAAATTGCTTTAAACAACGGGTTTCCGCTAGGAACTATTAACAAGATTTACTATAAGTTTGTAAATAGGAACAAGATGTCTTATAATGTCATACATTCGAAAAATTTACAGAGAGGCCCGTATAAAGTTTTAACATTTTTTGGTAATATTTCACTCCAATTGGCAAAATATATTAAAAATCTTAATTTATCTATTTCCTTTAAAACTATTAATACATTAAAAGCAAATTTGGTTAGAAATAAAGACAAAACGAAGAGGCTCTCTAAATCGGGAGTTTATTCTTTGAATTGTGGCGACTGTCAAGTCGTCTATGTGGGGCAATCAGGTAGAAAGATTTCCACCCGAATACAGGAACATCTGAGCCTTGTCAATAAGTACAGAAATTCGGATATAACTGAGACTAAATCGGCTTTTGCGAACCACTTATTAGCCACAGGTCACGATTTTTCCATCTTAGAAAACGTTAGTGTTCTGCACGAATGCCAAAAAAGTAAAAAACTTGATTTATTGGAGAAAATGGAAATAACTAGAGCTAAAAATAGTCCGGTTCTTGTGTGCGTGAATGACATTTATAATTTCGAACCAACATTAATTTTCAATAATCTGAAAGATTAATTCGGCCGTGTATTATTGTTGAGTTCTGAATCTTTATTTTAGTAGTATGGTAGCTTGGTGGCTTTGCTCTCTGGTTCCCACCCGGGAGGCTAGAGTTCAAATCCCGCTGGGTTATTCTATTTTTTATTTTTTATTTTATTTTTGATTTTGTTTGATTTTTTGTTTCTGTTTGTTTTTTATTGACAAATATTTGCCGGCCATTTCAGCCTCGTCTCAGTGTTGTTTTAAATGTAAAATGTGAACGTGCATTTGGATTAATTTTAATTGTATTTGTAAGTTATGATGACCTTTTTATTATTTGCTATTTATTTAGGTTCTTTCTTGTTAGGTCTGATGATGCTCGTATATGAGCGAAACACGTGTAACAGTTTAACGTTGTATAACCGTTGAGACCGAGACTTTGAGTCTTTTTTCTACTTTTTTAATTTGAACCAGGTCTCTTTGAGAAAAATGGATGCATTCTTTAAATTGCATATTGATTAGTTAAATTTTTTAGCATATGTAGTTTGTCAAAAAGTACATACAGGATAAAAAAAAAAGCGATTTTTTAATCAAAATTGTTTGAAGCGAAATTTTGCTTAATGTCGACGTTAACACCTTAAAAATTATTTAGAATCCTAACAAAAAGTTCCCCTAGAAGAACTCACGGGAATTAATATCTCGAGCGGACTATTATGAATATATTTTACAAATTTCGTTGAAGCTCTTATGTAGGTTCTTTTAACACTACAAATATATTTTGTTTTTTGGAAGGTGTTACAAGCACTTATTTGTTAATAAATCTCATGAATTGCTATACAAGGTGATTCACGACCATGATACGGAAAATGTTATGGAGAACCGATGGTAGGATTTTGGTTGAGCAGGTGTCCTTATGTAAAAATACATATTTAAAAAAAAATCATATTACTTGTTCTCCATAAACGTTTAGCGTATCATCGCCGTGAATCGCCCTATTATTAGAAATGTCTAGTCCATGAAATATAATTTCTATAAATAGTGATATTGTTAACAAACTTTATAGGTTACATTTATTGAAAAAATCATGGGTATTTTACCTCTGAAAGATATATAAAAATAACCAACAGAAACCATCTCTGCCAGAGAGTTTTTACTTCTAAAGAAATTTCCCTAACCAACACATTTTCCACCGTCGCGCATCGCACAGTGTTTCGACTGATTATTTCCCTCATCGTGAAATGGACCAATCAGCTAATCTATTTTTTCGAATAAATTTTGTTTAGATAAGTGATTAAATCCCAAGACCAGTTTAACCGCGATTATTTTTTCGGCTTCCTTTTGGGTTTTATTTTTGTCGTTTATCACTAATTCTGAGAGATTTTGGCAACAGTTCATTTAAAAACATTGATTTACAACTCATATGTATGACTTAATAACGATTTTAATTGGTAAAAACCCCTTGGTAAAGACCTCCTCGATGCATTGTTGGATGCGTAACCAAGGTAGCAGAAGTACAAACATTACTTTCGAGACGTCATTTTGAAACGTCTATAAATTTTATTTACCGCTGTAGTGAAAATGAATTCACGGTTTAGCAAAATGTTAAATTTTATAGTTAATAAAATTCTTATAGTTATTTGCTTCATCCTAAGTCATTCGCTTCATTCTAAGTCATTCAGGAAATAATCTAGCCGTATATCACTCAACCTATAAATTTAATTGATTAAACTACCCAACTAATTTTTTGCATGATTTAGCTTTTTAGAAAATAGTTTCATGTACAATAATTTTAGAATAAAAACTTTTATTAAATTATTGTGCATTCAACTATTTTCCAAGCAAAATCACGCGTAAAATATATTTGAATAGTTTAATCGACTTAATTTATAGATCTCGTGATATAATATATGATTAAAAGTCATTAGGGAAATTTTGACAGCTTTTATCAAAAAATTACAAATAAATCTTCAATAGTTTTGATTTTATTACTTTTCCTGTTTAAAGTTAATTAACCGACGAATAATACATCATCTGACGTTGCAGTCCGTGGTATAATATTCGTAACTAAAAGTATCGCAGTGTATTTTTTACTGTGATTAGTATATTTTAGTTATGAATTTAGAGGTTAAAGATAAGGCCCTTGGAGTTTTTTAAGGGCCCATACAAAGTACCAGGTAGGTACCTAACTAACTAACTACTTATTACAATATTTTTCCCAAAGTTATACGATAAGTGGTTTCTGAGATACAGCCGGCATCCATTCTTAGTTTGCCACTCGATACATGCTCATCAGGCTCAACAGAATATGTTAGGAATTAGTTTATGTTAAGCAGTTGAAATATTTAGTGTAAGTAGGATATTATAAAATTAGATACATAATATAGGTAATTTGGTTTGAACTTAAAGAATACATGTCAAAATTAATTTAATGTTACGTTGAGCACATCTGTCAAAAGTGACCGCTCGGATAATACAAACCATGCAGTTATATTTAGCAAATATTTATGGTTTAGTATGAAAAATATATTAAAATCTATAAGCAATAAAATAATTTTAGTAAAAAAACTATATCAATTTTGTCCGGTTAACTTGTACTGATCGAAACACTGTGCGTCATTAGAGATTTTGGGTTGCACAAAGTGGCATTTTACATAAAAAAAACTTTTATTTTTTAGTAATATTTATTACACAATTATTATTATATTAATCACTATATTTTTTGTTGAAAAATTCCTAAGAAGTCATATTTACGGATTAGTAGACCAAAATTATGGAATAAATGCTGATCCTATGTAACTGCCGCAGGGTTTACCTTAATAATTCGTATTATTTACTTACTTATTATACGGTTTTGACCCAAACATATGAGCAACGCTATTTATACACCATGTTCCATTTACAGAAAAAATATATTTAGTAATAGCCATGACAAATGAAATCCAGACAGTTTCACCCAAGTAACAACTGACCAACATAGGTACTACTAGAGTACCCAAGAAAATCAATTTCCTATAATGCCTAGAATCAAAAAATCAATAAATAACGTTATTTAATTAATGTTTATTATATAACGTTACTAATTAAATAACACTAACAAATTAGTCCATGTTAATGGTATCAGCGAAGTGGTGTTTACAAAAAAATGTGTTATATTTTGGATATTTTTTTTTTCTAGTGGCAAAAAACAGAATTTTTTTAAAAAACTGAAAGGATCGATGGAGAAAAAAATTATAATTAAGTTGATATAAATAATGGAACACCCGTTCTTATTTATGAATCCGCGTACTACACCCTGAAAACAGTACTTATCCACATGCAGGCTAAACAGTAAATTCAGTAAACGCTAAACAATGGCGAAGAGAGTCTGGGAGCGACTAGAAATCAAGATACATGTAGAGAGGACAGAGGTAATGTTGTCACCAAAGCCGATAAATCCTGAGAAACAGATACATGACATACCTATGATTGAAAAGGCAAGTGGGAAAGTATCGCATTAAATTGCTAAATAAATCAATATAACAGACAAAATATAAATCACTGCCCGTAGCCTCTGACCACCCTTAAAGTCAGGGACTGATAAGATTCACAAAGGTTAGAATATCCACTTGGAATATAAAGAACATCATATAGATATTATCGAGTTAGCAAATTCTGGGAAGAAAGTGAAAAGAATGAAATAGAATATTATAGATTCTACTACTTTGGAGAAGATATAGTATGTGTATTCCATGCCCTTGGTATTCCAAACAATAAAATAATTTCGGACTGTCAATGTCTTTATTTACTACAAGTGTTATCAGGTGTCAATGATAATATACAGGGTGAGTCTTAAATAAGCGTGTATAAGTATTCAGAACAGCAAATAAACTAATGTTTATAACTTTGGACTAATGTTTATAGTTAATTATTTAATCATATACTAATGCTAATGAATAAATTATATTGTAGTCTACCGGGTGCGTCTCTAAAGTGGCTCACCCCTATATCTTTTTTCATTTTTTCAGATAAAAAACTATATTTAGTATATATGACGAGGGATTGATTGACGTATTTTATTGTTTTTTTTGTCACTTCCTGTTTCACCGGAAATTATTACAACTTTTATTCGATAGAAAATGACACTCTGAATAGAATGACATATCATATGTCAAGTTTTGACATTTTCACTTAAAAACAAATTGTATTTTAAATTTCAATCTAGAGTGCCATGGTGGTGTTAAAAATACTAACTTTTAATCAAGGAACCTTGGAAAAATAGATTTGACCGTCTAAGGTTTTTCGTGTCTTGTCCTGACCGGTTAAAAGAGGCCCAAATCGTATTTTTAATCATATCTCAATTTTTCAAATGGAACAAGGGTGGCGCATTACCATATTTGGAAAAAAACATATTTTAACGAATAACTTGATACCACGCTTGGTATTTTGAGTCAAATTGTCGTTATGAACCGCATGTTACAATTTCAAATAAACCATATGCAAAAATGTTAAAAGTTGACATGTGATTTGGCATTTTATTCAGAGTGTCATATTCTGTCGAATAAATTAAAAAAAATACTTGGTTAGTCTGTCGAATAAATTAAAAAAATAATGGTGTCATTTAAAAATCAAAAGTTGTAGTCATTTCCGGTGAAATAGGAAAACTCCCCAAACCAATTGAATACGTCATTTAATCCTAATTTATGTCATATACTAACATATCAAATCTCGTTTTGTTATCTGAAAAAATAAAAAAGTTATAGGGGTGAGCCACTTTTGAGACGCACCCGGTATAGCAAAATTATTTATTTTTCTTAATAGGTCACCATCTTTACTTTTTATTACTTATACTACTGTTGCCATTAAATACTTACCTTCTTTGGAATTGGACCACAGGGTCTGCTAACACATCAGACATATCAATTGTTTTTCCTTTTTCAATAACATCCTTATGCTTTTTGCATAACAACCATCCGACATGGGAAAAGAAAAATCCTCTACTTGCATTGTGTGGATCAGCATTAGTTTCAGTATATTTGTGATGTACTCTATGATCACGGGCCTTGCAAATTTACAATACATTAGTTAATAAAACAGCAGTAAGGTTTCTTTAATAATAAAACATTGTGTGAATGTATTAAAATGGACAAATGTGGGCAAAAATATTATATGAGAAAAATATTTCATGACAAAAATATGAACTTAATTATATGAGGTAATAGGTAACTCTGAGGTATGAGGTCAGTCTTCAGTCCATGCTATTTTTTATTTAAAATGTCAAAATTAATATTTAGTTTTCTCGAAATTGACAAATATATTGTCTGCAGAAATGAGAGGAATTAAATACAGTAGAACATCAATAATAGTCCGGACACTCTCTAGAACGTGCACTCTAGTAATCTGGCTATTATTCGGACATTTTTAAACATTTGCCCCTGAAAACCGAGCGCAAAAAAATCACGTGAAATCTCAGAATTCTCCAATCTAGACAAGCAGAATCGTTTGCTTTTTGTTTATGAACTGAGTCTATTTTCTGCAAAGGATTCTAGAGCGGGTTAAATGTAATAGTTCCAATCAAACGAGCACATAAAATTCTTACTCTCGCCGAAATAATCTAAAATTTTAGAGTATCTTGATTCTGGGAAAAAAGCTTGCCAATTTGCGGTACAGATTATGGTTTCAAAATCTGCAGTTTTTGACATGAACAAAAGAGATATAATAAGGACTTTTATATCAAAATAATTTCAAAGGCCGGGTAGGAATATCATTATCGATAACGTATTATTTTAAAAGCAAATAAAAACAGTTTAGAATAGAAGAATAAGAGAATAAAGAATAGCTATAGAACATCAAATTGGCGACCCGTGACAGTGACACTTGTGTCTATCATTTTAAATCACAAGTAAATTATGTTTTCTGCATTTTTTGGATATTATCTGTCGGAATCTTCCCTGAATCGTTGAACAAACTATACTATTATACAACTGGTTTATACAAAAACGAAATGATTACGCACTTATTTCATCAGAAATTTCACAAACGAAAACAGAATTTTTAGCAAGTTATGAATTGCGCTAGATAAACTGATGTGAACACTGGCACGAAACACGTTTTTTTGACGATATGTGGCCAGAAATGTTATTGCTTTCTAGTGATGTCACCGCGAGATTCCGTTTCAGGAAAAAAATTAGATCAGTTTTAAATATGACAATATGCAAAGAACCAGTATACAACCCAAGATGAGTTGATCAAGATGAAAAATTAGATCCATATTAAAAGATCGAAAGACCGATTAACTGTTTATGCCGTGCTGCAACGTAGCGATGAATCAGATTTTTATGGGAAATTAATATTTATCTACAATTTAGATTAATAATATAATAGTTATTTATGATATAAGTGCTAAAAGTGGTATTTTGTCCCATCCCTTCGAACGGATGTGGTATTTTCTAAAAGAAGTAAATTTAGTAGCTTCAGTAATCCGGGCACATCGATAATCCGGGCGCATGCCGGTTTAAATTTATGTTGAAGCAATTGTGTGTTTGATATAATATATTAAATAAAAGAGCACAGCCAATACCTATAACGCAACGGGAGTACCACAAGGCACAACTTTAGGACCGATATTGTTTTTAATATATATCAACGGAATGAAAGATGTGGCCACAAGTGGCAGTATAATTGCATATGCAGACGATACCGCTATAGTTTTTACAGGAAATTCATGGGATGAGACTTATGAAGCAGCAGAACAAGGTCTATGTAAAATACGGGAATATCTTGATGGCGGACTATTAACATTAAATATTAAAAAAATAAGTTTCATAACCTTCACTCTTACAAGTGTTGATCGACCCCAAAAAAATTATTTGTTGGTTCATTCTCAAAATTGTCTAGTTAATAATATATGCCAAAATTGACCAAAAATAAATAGAATTTCTTATGCTAAATACCTCGGAATAAATGTAGATCAGCACTTGAGATGTAAGGAACATATTGATTTAGTCAAGAAAAAAATAAGAAGTATGTTTCATAAGTTTTATCAATTAAGGGTATTTTTGGAAAAGAATCTTTTGATTACTCTGTATTATTGCCTTGTGGAATCTATTCTCAGATATTGTATTATTGTTTGGGGATCAAGCTTTAATAACATTATAAAAAGTCTTGAAGTTTGCCAGAAAAAAATACTAAAAATAATCTTAAAAAGGAACAATGGATATCCAACCGAAAATCTATTTTTAGAGGCTGAGGTATTAGATTTGAGATGTCTATATGCTCATTCTATTGTGATGTACCTTTATAATAAACCCGAATTACGGAGTGTACAAAATCATAACAACCTCAGAAGAGCGGTAAGTAGTAAAACTCTCAGCGTTCCATGTTTTCACAGATCTCACGTACAAAGAACAGTACTTTATTTTGCACCTAAGTTGTTTAATGTAATTCCATATAACGTACGTATAATTAACCAGCAGAAAAAATTTAAGATTCTTACAAAAAAATACATAACTGATAATAAAAGTGCGGTACACAAAATACTCGCATTGAACTAAAAATAAGTTTTAAAATTCATGTAACATATAATATATACATAAAATGTACATCCCGCTGACCTCTCTCATCCCCGCCAATTGCAGCTCATTGTTTGGGATACTTGTGCTTGTTTTATATTTGTTTCAGTGCAAGAAATTTATGCACACTGGGTTTTTGAGTTTTTTTTTGTTTCGATTGTTGTAGTTTCAGTTTGCGTATTTATTGTTTTTTTCTTTCTGTTGCACCTATGATTCATTTCTTTCATATAGTTATTAGTTATTTGTTAGAGTGTCTAGAACACACAGCAATTTAATTTGCTAGGTGCTATGAAACTATAAATATGAAACTATAAATGTAAATGTAATGTAACACTGTATTTTATCACAAAAATAAAGGATACATGTTTCATTTAAAAAAAAAAAAATACGGCCAGCACAATAATATACTGAAAATACGTACTGAAGAAAGAAAGAAGAGCAAGTAGTATTTTCTCAGGCGCATGAAATTTAGCGTCGTATTAAGTGGTTATGTAATGAGCACATCTCATTTTCTTTCACCGACTTACAAGATCGCCATATTAATTTAATACTAGGCATAAAAGGTATTGACAGAAGACTTTGTACTCTGTGACCTTTCTCTTACGGGTATAAATATAACCTTCCGAATTTTTGTGAACAGCGAAGTGGGAATGTATCAACTACCTAGTATTCTATGAAATATACATACCCAGATATAAATATCATTCTGCAAAGCAGCAGATTGCCATAGCATCAAAAATATTCTTAAAGGTAAGTTTGCTTTATATGATCTGTGCGTCCATAATCGATGGGCACCTGCGGTTACTCCATTTATAGCAAAAAAGGCATAGACAATATCTAAATAAACAATAAATTAAACAATTTTAATAATAAGTTATACTATATAAATAAAAAATAAAAGCACAAATAAACTAATGAAAAAATCAGTCATGATTTTACAGCTACTACAGCATGGTACATGGTACTACAGCTTTATAAGATGACAACGCAAATCAAAATGTATTTTACAATATGATTAGAGTTTTCAATATTTTACGGCATTACTCACAAAGATTAAATTATTATTAACACATTTTTATATACATATTTATTTTAAAAACATTGAGAATACTCTAGTTATGAATCTCCAAAGTATGTCCAGTGAGATGAGCACGTCCAACGTGCGAGTTACAGTTGCTGTGTGTCAAAGTAATTAAAAATTATGTTGTATTTTCTAATATTTTTGTCGTCATATATCTTTCCTTGATATTCCCTGATATCTTGGACAGACTTTAAAACAGAAATTGCACACAAAAAATTATTTGATTACAATTACTTTGTATAGAGTTCATTCAGATAATTATACCAATATACACTCAGATGCAAAAAAACGCAACGGAGAAATTTTTGGTTTAAATTTAAAGTGTTATATTTTTCTTATTTTTAGCCCTATTTTTATGATTTTTTTAGCAAGCTGTATATAATTACATCAACCTTAATTCGTAAACTCAGTTTTTTATAAACTTCAGTATTGTGCATATTATACAGGGTTAATCGATGGGTTGTTTTTTACCCTAACTTTAAAACACCCTGTGCAGTAATTTCGTTTGTGAATTTTCCTAAAATATATTTTTGCGGTCAGAACCATGTCTCCTGAGCATTTTGTTTTTTGGATCATGTCAAAACATGTCATGGTTAATTTTTAAGGGCGAAATGAACTTGCCATCAACAATTTGCAATTTTTTCAATTATCATTTCTTTTTGAAGTTGGTTTTCAATATGACAAGGCGTGAACTATAAACCACTATGAATTGATCATCATATTCGACGTTTGAGAAATGCTTGGCAGGAGGGTAGGTCGCGAAGCGCTACCAGCTTCATTAAATAAACTTCGCTTAGTCCTTAAAGAAGAATGAGGAAACATATCGCAATATTATTTTATATTTTTACAAATTTTTTTTCTGTTTGTATATTTGATTATTACAGATGTTATCTTTAATATCATTAGTTCTGTTATCGTTGTTAATGTTTATTAAAACCACGACTGTATCTTTAGTATTTAACGTTTATTTTAATTTAGTATGCAGTATCTAATGCAGCGTAATACGACGTTATGATAATAGTCACCAAAACCATCCCGTCATATTAAAAAATTACATCAAAAAGTAATGATAATTGAAAAAATTATAAATTGATCGTAATCAGTTCATTTCGCTCTTAAAAATTAACCAAGGCATGTATTGACATGATCCAAAAACCAAAATGCTCAGGAGTCATGGTTCTGACCGTAAAATTATATCTTAGGAAAATTCACACACGAAATTACAGCACAGGGTGTTTTAAAGCTAAGGTAAAAAACTACCCCTCGATTACCCCTGTATAATATTCCAAATACTAAAGTTTATAAAAAACTTAGTTTACGAATTAAAGTTGATATAATTACGTACAGCTTGCTAAAAAATTCATGAAAACAGGGCTAAAAATAACAGAAATATAACACTTTAAAATTGACCAAAAATTTCTCCGTTGCGTTTTTTTTTTCATCTGAGTGTATATCACAGTTTTATGAGATTACAGTTGGATGTTGGAACTTTTGGTGTTACGAGAGAAAAATAACACACTAATTGTACCAACACCAAAAAAAATATTGTATTTCTTTAATTATTGTGTAAAAAGATGTTTCTCTTATTATGTAGTCCTTCCCCTAGGAGATGAGAAAACTTGCCGCTAGTGGGGGCACTTTAAATGGGTCCAAAGATCATCTCGCTCAGGGCCTATTTTTCATCTGGTCGGGCAGGTCGGGCTCTAAGGCCGAAGCAAAAATTCGGGCCCTCTTTTCCAATAAAATTCAAAAATTCTATTGTTAGTTTGGATTAAGAAAATAAAACGTTATTTTTAGATTGAGGAATCGCCGATGCCGGTATCTTTGATATAAATTTATAAATAATTTAAAAAAATGCATTAATTATATCAATCTAAAGCTTATTTTATTTAATTCTATTTTCCTTATCAGAGGTAGGTAACTGTTTTTTTTTCTCTGCTATGTAAATTTACATTTGAAATTATGAATATTTTACAACGTTTAACGGGCCCCCCAGACCATCAGATGGTAAAATAGGCCCTGATCTCGTAGTCGTGATCACGGAATATACACCAAGATATATAACGATGCTCAATGCTCATGCACAAAGGTATAGACATTATAACATTAATTTAACATTTTAACTAATCATGATGTCATAAGCTAAATAAATAAATAAGATTGTACACTAACCAGAGCCACCATATTAAGATAAATTCCTAATCAACATTTTAATAAGAGTAATATAAACATGCAAAATGCAAATGTACGAAGTGTGTAAATTGATTTATACAAAGGCAAATTGATTTATTTATACTTACTAAATACTACAGCTTTCCATCCTACTTGACCAGTAAATATAAGATATAGTCCATATAGAAACAACGAATGCAAAATCACATATATTATTACATTTGTCCACATGATTTCTAGTTTATAATTATATGCGTTTGGAGACAAATGACTTGCTTTGTTCGCATTGCTTTTATCTTTTAGCTCATCACATCTATGACATCCTTCTGTTTTGGAAGGTATTTTAGAGCTGTCGTCGATATGAGAACAAGACATGCTGAACAAGAATAAGATAGATGTTAAAATTTTATTGGTAATCACTGAGATTGGTAAATGAATAATAATATAAATTATATTATGTATTACATTAGTGTATTACATTATAAATAGTGTATTACATTATAAATTACATTAGTGCATGCAGAAGATCAAAAAGTCAAACTATTTTAAAACTTATATTAATAAAACTATAGTTATAGTAAACTAGATTAATTATAGATATTATGTTTCGTAAATGATATAAGTTTGCAGTAGGTAAAATAGTCAAATAAACTTGCTCAAAACGATTCTATTAATAGAACCTTAATCAAGACAATATTCTTTAATTCATTTATAGTTAATAATTATTTTTATTTACCATGCATTTATGATGCCAAGAAATACCCAGAAATCCGCTAAAACAAAATCACTTTCAAGCGTTCAAATATAAAACATTCAAAAAAATATAAAATAAAAATATGAAAAAAATTCAGACTGTCGAGATGTCTTATAAACGGAAAATACCATTTAATAACCAGCTTAAAATGATAAAATAACCAGCTTAAAATGATGAAATCTAACAAAACAGCAGTTATATGACAAGAAATATTTTTATTTAAATTATAGTTAATTAGTTATAATTAACTATAATGTTGTTTTGTAAATAATGCAAATACAAAAACCCCGATAAAATTTTTGCACACAGGTCCGTGAGTCTGTTGCTACGCCACTGCTCTTACTAATTCTTTTAAATACTATCAATTTGGTTAGCATTTTCAATTGAATAAAACATAAAAAACAGAATATACTTGAAAAGGATTGCAATTTCAAGCAACGAAGACGAATTGATAATCATAAAATAACGTACCTGGAGTGCAGCTGAAATCAATTTTAATACTTGAAATTTACTAGCTGTTACTTTAATATTTGCAATGTGATTGATCAAAATAGACTAGACGGGCTTTATATACCTATAAGGCAAATTTGACATATACAATATACGAAAATGAAAAAAACAGTTTTTTATTTATAGTCAGGATATTATAAATATATAATATATTATAATATATTTTTATTGCAAAACAATGGACTTGCAAGACAATGGACAATCTGAAAATATTCCATGGACATAGAACTACTACGTATTTTTGAAATCAAAATAAGTTCATTGGACACAATTTACCTCTATAAAAAAGTGCTTTGTCCGCTAGAGGATAAAAAAATTATTAAATACTGGATGGAACATTTTATGAAAAAAAAACTGTCGTCGGTAGAGTTGGAAAATATTTATACTAAAATTTATGTAGGGGGGGGGGGGGTAGTTTTCACCCTTCTCGTACGTTTTTTGGATTTTAGTAAAAGTCAAATGTTAGGCAAAACATAGACACCCAGAATCTGATTCAAATCGGAATTACGGTACTTAATATATCTGAAAAAATGTGTTTTTTTTAAGTTTTATGCCCTCTGACGCCTCTGACACTTTTGTATTGAAGTAAATTGTGTCCAATGAACTTATTTTGACTGTATAATAAAATTTGTTTCGTAGAGGGTGATTGCGCAAAAGCTATCGAAAAACTATATCAGATTTCCTATAATTGGGATTTTTACTACTTCTTTGTAGAAACTGAATGCAATAGTGCTACATTTTAAAAATATTTTTATAATTATATAGGATAACTCAGATATATTTTTACACCAAAGTTGTAGTTTTTCAAATGGAATGGTAAATATTTGTTTCGTTTGCTGACTTTGTCTATTAAATTCCAAAAATTCGGACCATTCCATTCCAAAAATTCGGACATAATTAATAAGATGTGGTTTTTGAAATATAACTAGTTAAGTAGTTCTTAAATTTTCTGCATGCATATTTAAGAAAATATTTACCTAATACAAAATAGTGAATAAACATCTTGTTAAGGTAGAACCTTTTCTGAGGGGAGGTTTCATTTCGACAATAATAAATACAATATTTTAGTATAAATTCTTAAATAATATCTATATGAGTATCAAATTAATTTATTTCATTGTCCAACCCTTAGGCACGCTAAAAAAAGTAAAACACAAAGCTTAGAAATAACATAGGGCAGATATCAATTTATAAGTTCTATGGCATATGAGATACATTATTTTTGTTTTAAATAGTATTTTTATTGTATACTCTGCTGGCAAGCGAACCCTTGGGCCGGCGTTTACGTGTTTAGGAGTGAATCGCTATGGCAATCTAGTAAGTCGGAGAGAGCAAAAATATTAGTATTTATTACATAACCACTTAATCTGACGCTAGATTCCATGCGCTTGGGAAAATACTTGCCCTCTGTCTTTATTCAGTAAGCACATCTTATTTTGCTAAGCGTGTTGACCGTACTCTTCGTACACAGGAAAATCGGCACCTAAGACCCAAATGGCATTTCCCTATATGCCATATTTGACATTCTGCTAAGTATAAATTTATGCATTTCGGTTATTGTCCTAAGGATCCATTCTTTTAATTTTTTTTAAATATTCAATTCTTCTGAGACATCAGAGGGATATCTACCATTTCTGAACTATATTTATATTTGATATAATTGATATTTGCTTGCTGAGCCTCAAGCCACAACACCATATTGTAAATGGCTCTGAACTAAAGCAAAATACACATTTCTTAGTAATTCTATAGGAATTATACTTTTTAAAAACTTAAATATTACAATATGTGATCCTAATTTTTAGTCAAAAACTGAATATAATAATTCCATTTCATGTGATTATCAAATATTAATCCAAGATACTTAAATTTGTTTGTTGAGCTTATTGTCACTAGCTTATTATTATAAGTTATATCTAAATTGAATTTTTGAAGAGTATTTGAATAGCAGGCAAAAGGCAAAAAGAAAAAAGTTTTCTAGTTAAAGTTAACAGTAAGAAGATTATTATTAAAGACATTGTATACCATTTTCATAGATTTTTCTACTTTGGCTTTCAATTGATTCCAACACGTTGATCTGAAGAAGAGTGCTGTATCATCAGCATAACTCAAAATCTGCGCATCGAATTTCAAATTTAGTAACTCATTAGTGTATATGTTGCGGTTAAAGTCCAATGTCCGGTTGCAGTAATGTCGACATTACCCCGGTTAATCTCGAGAATAACACAAAACAAAACAACCAAACCGAAACATTAACCTGTTAATGTCGAAATATCGGACATCGAACCTTAACCGTAACATATATACAGACAGGGCCCAGTACAGGGTGAGTCAAGAATAGAATAAAGTCCATTATCTCAATTGTTTCATGGTTTAAAAAAAATCAAAGATAAAAGTTATAGAGACGGTTAAGATACACATTTTAAAATGATTATAGAGTATACAGGGTGCTCCAAAAAAGTGTGGCGAATATGACATATGTTTTTTTTAAATGCAACACCTTATTCTTTATTTTATTTTTAGATTCTGCGTAAAATTCCTTAACTTTTTTTATATATAATAATATAAAAGAAGAAAAAGATTAAACGGCTCAGCCCTCAACAACTAGTAACCGTATACACCAGTGTACACCAGTGCAGACACACTGATGTAACTGCCTTCAGGCTTCATCAGTAGTAGTAGATGTTAACTGGTTTAAAGAGTTATAACTTTTCATCCGTACCTGTATAAAACTACTGAGTGAAAAAATGTACATACATCTCCATGATTTTTGACGTAAAAATGTCTCTTGCTATAAATCGCAATGCACCACATTTTAAGATATTTAGAATGGAAATAGTCAATACATATCATTATTGACAAAAAAATAAACACGTTGAGTAGATAATTATTTGACTGAAATAATAAATTTGGGAACTTTTTATTTTTTTAAATTAATCATAAATTTTTCTGCCAAAAAAATATGATAAAACAGTTGTGAACTTTTAAAATCTGTTGAACTTTTGCCACAAAAATATTTCAAATTTATGATTTCAGTCTGATAACTATTTGGTCAACATGTTTAGTTTATGTCAATGGTGACAAGTATTGATAATTTTGATTCCAAATATCTCGAGAACCATTACCCGTAACGATTTTTACCAAGACACATTTTTTACGTAAAAAACGTCGTAAATGTACGTTTTTAACAATAGTTTTATACAGGTACAGACGAAAAATTATTAGTCTTCAAACCAGTTAAAAAATATGTAGGTGGCGCCCTCTACAAGTAGGAGTCATATTGACATCAAAATCAAATTTCTTATGTCAAAAAACTTCCAGACACCAATTTTCATCCAAATATTGACGATACTTAGAAAGAGAAATTATTTGGAAAAAATCGAAATAAAAATGAAATGTTTATACCCTGTATCTCCGAAAGTAAGCATTTAAGGACATACAATTGTACGAACTTTTTTACTTATTTTTATCTGCAGAATATGCTGCCGAAGTTTCCGGAATACAGTTCGGACCACCCTGTATACATATAAACCGGGTGAGTCTCAAAAGTGGCTCACCCCTATAACTTTTTTATTTTTTCAAATAAAAAACCAGATTTGTTATGTTAATATATGACATAAATTAGGATTAATTGACGTATTTAATTGTTTCCGGTCACTTCGAGTTTCACCAGAAAATAACTATAACTTTTGATCTTTAAAGTGCACCGTCGGTATTTTTCTAATTTATTCGATAGAAAAAGACATTCTTAATAGAATTACATATCATATATCAACTTTTGACATGGTTTATTTGAAATTGTAACATGCGGTTCATAACGATAATTTGACTCGAAATACCAAGTGTGTGGTACCAAATTATTCGTAAAAAAATATGCTAATGAGCCGCCCTCGTTTTATTTAAGCAAATAAAAGTTATTAAATTAATCAAATCTATTTTCCAAGGCTTTTTGATTAAAATTTAGGGTTTTTAACACACAGCACTGTAGATCGAAATTTAAAATACCATTTTTTTAAGCGAAAATTTCAAAAGTTGACATATGATACGTCATTTTATTCAGACTGTCAATTATCGAATAAAGTAAAAAAATACCGGACAACGGCCCAGCTACGTCGAAACACCGATTCCCATTAGAACAACGAAGTTAAGCGACGTAAGGCGATACTAGTGGATGGACCGGTGACCAGTTCGAAACTCTGTATCGTGCTGTTGTCCAATAAAGCCAAAAGTGTAAAATTTACTGACACATACTGCTCAATCACGCCGGTTCGAGGCCGGATGAGATCGGATATCTCGTGAGTAAGAGTCGATTTAGACACTTGCCAAGTCAGTAGGCCATTGATCATAATATGGCCGAGGACCGCGGTTCGGATTCCGCGTAAACAAAGTTGGCCCCGTCTAGATTAGCCCTGGCAGCAAAAAGGAGACGTTAACTTTAAATCTTTACTTTATTTTACTTTAAAAATATACCGAGGCTGCCATTTAAAAAAAAAGTTGTAGTCATTTCCGGTGAAACAGACAGTGACCGAAAACAATTGAATACGTTAATCAATCCTAATTTATGTCATATACCTACTAACATACAAAATCTCGTTTTTTATCTAAAAATAAAAATAAAAAAGTTATAGGTGTTTTTCAGACGCACCCGTATAATCGGTTTCAAAACGCCTTTTGCCCGTTGTCCGATGTTCTTCCGCACCCCTCGTTTGGTCCACTGTCTGTCTCTAAGACACTAATGATCATATTTATTCCTTCCATCCAGGCTTACTTTGGTCTTCCTCTCCTTCTACGGTATGGGGACGAAGACGCTGGCAAAATGTAGTATGCTAGTGAATTAAGTTTCTAATCATACAAGGTTCAACGAAAACATTTAAAAATATAAAATGTTTAAAATATAAGCAGCCTACATTAGGCGTCGTCGTACAGATTGAATCATGAATGGCACTCTTCTAAATCGCTGATATTAGAAATCACTGTTACAATCATCGCCATAGACTGCATTAATACCACAACATCCATGGAACAACACACTTGGATTGACAATCGGGATTACATTTGCTTTTAAATTATTGATAT